TTGAGGGCACTATATCTGTTCACTAAGTAGGTGGTATTGTTGAGGGTTCTAACTACCACTGAGAGGGTGGTATATTGAGGGTTCTAATTGTACCACTATTGGTATATTGAGGGCACTATATCTGTTCCACTATTGTTGAGGGTTCTAACAGTTTGTGATATGTTCTGGTTATTTCTGGCCATCAATTCCTGTGTGGTTTGCTACAGGCTGACTGATGTTCCTTTCACTGATCAATATCACTCCATCCTCCATTACTTCCTTACCTAATCAGATCCCACTGGTGTGTATTACATAACAGTCCACACATTATATTTCAAAACTAGATTGCCATTCTCACATTCCGGTAGTAACAGCATCTTTAGATGTCCATTCTACTTGGTCAAGTCGGAAAAATGATGCAATTCCAATTTTCATTACTTTGATGCCGTTTTTATTGTTCCATTTTAAGAGTGAGCAAATTGATGTTATTAGAATGAGAAATATTTTCTGCCCTTATAGACAGCGGAATTGAGAAACGTTCTTTATGTTTGGGTCAACCAATTGGGTGACTGACAGACTGTATAATATGTTATGTAGTTGTGTGCCACTGCTGTTTGGCCCCCTGTTGCAGTGGTAAATGTTGTGAGCTATGCATTTCTGCAGCCTTCATGTTCAGATCAATTTTCTATTACATGATGAAATAACTTCTTTCACTATTCAAGTTTGTTTATACTCTAAATATAATATGTGATGTAAAGTTAGCTTTGATGTTTAATGTTACCTCTGATGTTTTAGAAGGTTGCATTGACTAGGTAGTACACTGGGTACTGATGATTGGCAGTGGTTCAAAGCTAGCAGCACTGTACTGTGGCAGCCATGTCAGGCCAATTAGTAGGCTATAATATGGCTGTAGCCAGGGCTGTCTGGACTGGCCTGAGGGGTCGATGCAGCTGGCTAGGACAGCAAAACGTGGACTGCACCACAAAATGTACTTATACATCCTATCCTGGGCCAGTCCTGGAGTATTGTTGCCCTTGACCTAAGGATGTCAAGGCCAGTCCTGGAGTATTGTTGCCCTTGACCTAAGGATGTGAAGCAAACTTTCCTCAAGGTCATATCTTCAGATGAGAGGTTGCTGTCCAAAAATTCTAAATGCACAGTATCAAAATGAAAGAGTATATCCTTCAACAATTAAGATCATATGAAAATCACCACAGGGGATAGTGGTACTGTGCATAGAGTGCAAGGAAAAATCACTTGGCATTCATAAGATTTTTCTTACTTGGCACAGGGACATGTGTGTTTGTAAATTCAACTTATCCTTTTCCTTTTTTTATAACACCAACACCCCCATACCTTACCCCCCCCC